CGGGATCGTTAACCAAGACTTGACATTAGTATTTACCAGTGGTGTATCATATTTATATTGTTTGAAAGTGATATTTTTAATAGATTAAAAATTCAGTAAAACAAAGTCTTTATAAAAGGTATATTTCAGGATTTTTACAATTCAACAACATTATTTTTAATAATTTATGAAATTTTTACCTAGTAAATTATTGGATTAATGGAAATAAACTGTAGTGTAATTGCAAAATATTTTGATGAATATCTTAGATACAGTCTTGCCCAAGGTTTTCCTAAACAACAATTTCTTTATTTCCAAAATTTTCCACATTTTCTTCTTCCTCCATAATCAATTCTTTTTTGAGTTCCTTCTCTTCAAAGATTTGCTGGCTTTCCGTTGTCTTCATATAGTTTGCTGTTATTTCCTTAATTTAATATTCTTGGCTTCCAAATAAAAAGGATACGTACGTCCATGTCAAAGGCAATTTTAGATTAGAAAGAACTATTATGCATTATTAAAATTTTACGTAAAATAAAAATAAATAGTGTTACGATAATGAACTTACCGATGAAAACTCATTTTCAAAAGGCCGTTTTTAGCAGTCTGGTATCAACCGGAAAGGAACACACCAAGGTTTTGAGATGATCCCACAGGTAAAAATCCATTGGCGTTAGTTTGGGAGACCGTGGAGGCCAGGCAATTGTACCTCCTCTGCCTATTCAATGATTTCGATAGACATTATTCAGGTGGTCCCGTACAGCGACGTTAAATAAAGCATAAAATACATGCTTCGGCGGGTTTAAAGTGGCAAATGCTCTATTGAATTCAGAAAAGCGTTCTGAAGGAACTGTAAATGAAGGTCAGTATTCAATCGTGGCGGCAATACCCATGATCCAATTAAGAAATTGCCGATTATTCCTGCCCAAACATTAATTGATTGGAACTGATGTTGATAATGATGAACAACAGTGGCATGAGGGTTTTCATCAGCCCATACATGCGAGTTATGTAAATTTACAATACCATTTTTGGTAAACCCTGCTTCATCGGTAAAAAGAATAGTGCTAATGAAGTTTCCGTTTGTTCGTTGCTGATATAACAGCCAGATTGCGAACTGGATTCTTCGAGGGAAATCTTCAGGATTACAAGATGCAAGACCGTACATAAAATGCATACTCACTAAATGTGTATCCCATTCTCGAATTAAATTTACCAAGATATTCAATAAATTAATATCGGACTACTAAAAGATCAACGTGTCAACAAGATTTTAAATGTACACGTCAATGCAATTATTTATTTATTTCGTAGGTACCATAGTAACGTTTTTTAATACTGATAACAGTTCTATTTCAATGATTTTCATATCATACTTTGCTGCAGACAAAAAAATTGGAAATCATTGTTTCTTTTTAATAAAAATAAAACATTAATTCTTTTATATTTTTATTTTCTCGAAAACGGTTTATTTTATCGATAATGAAGAAGAGTACCTTTTCTTTAGCTTAATGTTCAAGGTATGGACATTTATTTTTTTTAAATTCCTTATCATACAGGGTGTTAAAAATGTAAGCATTAAAATGTACAAACTAGTCCGCCCCTGGTAAACTAAACAAGTTAATTATGTTTTAAGGGTAGTATTTTAAGAGGTTCTTACTACTGTTTATCATATTAAATTATAATACGTAGTTTGAAAGTTATTCAAGAAAAATTGATTTCCCGTGGCGTCCGTTTGGAGGCCGTATCTCCTTAGGGAGGGTTTCTCGGACACCCTGTATGTTAACTATTCTATTATCGACTAAAAATGGTTCAACAATTAATAACTTGCAAAATATAATTCAAAATCCAACTTTCAAATGACACATAATCAATGATTCATAAATCGTTAACAAAAATTGCCGAGTTTATCACCTACGTTTCTTATTTGAAATATGGCACACACTCCTTCCTTATTACTTTATATTCTAAGATTCTGAATCAGTTTAACGCACCGACCTTGATATTAAACTGGATGGCTATATGGCATGAACCGTACTCCTAATTTCTAAGCCGACATGGGTGAAAAAAACGGTCGGTGCGCATGACAATTTGGGCGCCAGACTGTCAATTTCGAGCATTCTACGGCACGTTTCCCAAGGGCGTACTACGATAAATTATATTATTTTTTATAACTCGTTATTTTAATAATTATTAATATTGGAACATTTGTTTCAGCTGCGTATTAATAAAAAATAATTTTTAAGTGATTTTCCTTAAATTAAAAGGTGTCGTAGTTGAATTAATTTTGATGGTCCTTTTTAGTGCATTTCGATACGCACATGTGGGCGCCAAAGTGTCAAATATCACCTCGCTATGAGGCTTGATTTTGTTGATCGGCTTTGTTCTTCCAGTTTAATATATAGTTCAGTGGTTTAACGTACTATTTAACCTCATTAAGGGCCGATTCCACCGTTCTGTTAAACGGAGATTAAAATGACATTGTTAATGTAAAAATGTCATTTAAAACTTCGTTTAACACAACGGTGGAATCGGTCCTTAAATAATTAGTAATTGTCACAAAACTATTGGGAGATCACTAACTAGCAAATAATTGGATCAACTTACCGGTACCCATTTCTAAATCCAAATCTTGCTGAAACCCCGTCTCCGATCGTCGAAACATCAAGTTACGTATATATTTTTTTAGTCGACAATTGGCACTCTAATAATCATACTATTTATAATTTCTATTGCGACTGAAATAAAACTTTATTCGACTCGATAGGGTCATGAATAATTATCCATTTTCCCTCATTTAGGTACATACTTCAAATAGTTTTCTTTCTAAATAAAACGGAACTGTCTTCAATTACAAACTATATTCGAGTCTGTATTTGTATCACCTTACATCTTGTATTTCACTCTACTGCAATTCTCTTGTCTCAAATTATTGGAAGACATTGAAAAATAACAAATACGGTCAAAATCCTGCTACAGACCGCAGCGGGATATACCGCTTAAACTATAGATTTTAATGTAAACATTAGACTTGTTTTGGTTCTTTCAAAATCAGTGAATTACTCTCAATCAGTTTCAAATGTAATATTCTCGCGACGTGATTTAAAAAAATGAATTCATCAACTATAAAATTTGATTTGACAATTGGAATTGACGGTTCCGTTCGAACCAAAACAACGCCATTATGAACCAGGCGACGTTGCCAGATTACTTATTATAGCTTACATTCTAAGACTAAACAGCTTCTATCAATACCTATAAATCTATACAGGGTGTCCCGAAATTAGACGGTCATATTTTAACAGCGTAATCTACATCCTAAAATAGGAGTAAAAGTTCATATAAACATAGGTCCGAAAACGTTTCGTTTTTGAGATACAGGGTGTTACAAGTGAAGTCTTGATGGCACATTTTTATAAATAATCGATAGACTTTTATCCTCTGATGCTTACTAAAAAAGTTGATCCAAGGTCTTGTATATCACTAATTTTCATGAAATACATCTCATTAGTCCAACAAGCATCCGTTTTTATCCGTTATTCTTAAAGGAGTACGTCAAAATTTTACCCTTAACATTTATGGGCTGTTTTCAATGAGGGCGTTCAATTATTTAAAAAATAAAACAATTTACATATTTTATTTTTTTGTTGTTAAACGTAATGTAAAATGTCACTATTCATTGCCTATTTTTCGTTTTTTTTTTTTTTTTATTTTTGGTTTTTTCGATTTGGATTTTTCGATTTTTCAATTTTTGATTTTTAGATTATTCAATTTTTGATTTTTTCAATTTTTTGATTTTTCAATTTTTCGATTTTTGTTAGTGGGTCGTAGAAAAAATATACTGCTTAACTCGAGTGGATTGTCCATATTTACGCTTGTTGCACAAACTACTAATTTTCTACACCCTCATGGATATTATCTACGCGGAATACAAAACGAAAAAATATGCTATTGCTTTCAACTGAACGAATATATTTTATATCCATTCTAGGTAGTGAAAACACTGCAAAAAAATATAATCCACCAATCAGAGTTCATATTTTAGGCACCCAACTACCTACTTATATTTTTTTCAACTATGAAAGTCGCAACCCCCTTAGAAATCTCACCTTTACAATCAGCAGCTGTTGTTTGACAGGTCGTTCGAGAATGTTTGCAATGTTAGGAATCTTAGGAATTTTAGACGTTAGGAATGCTTGGAATGCGCAAAATTAGTCACATAAGAAATGCATGGGAGGATTTTAAGAAAATTAATATTAAAGTAGTTAGGATGGACCAAAAATTCTGAAAATCAATAGGGTTCTAAGTTAAGAAACAATTATTCAAGAAAATCAAAACCGCAAGTCAATCAGAACTTTCGTTCTCGAGTTATCGTGCCGGCATATATACGCACAGACGACCAGACGAATTTTTTTTTTTCATTTTCGGAAACGTGAAAAAAGTCTAAAAAAATGGGAGTAAGAAAATGTTTTCGTCTGCACGAATTCAATACTGAGGCCCCATAGGAAAGGCCTCAGTAATTTTAAATTATTTTAATAAATGGTAAAAATACATATGTAGGATATAGGTACGAAAATCAAGGTTCACAATTTTATCATCATATCGATTTTACTCTTAATATACACATTACATTGATAAAAAGCCTGAGCTATTTGACAGCTGATGCTGAAAGTAAGTTCTTATTCACATACAGGTGGAAAGTAAATTCTTATTCACATGCATACAATATAGGGCATTCTCCCTAAGACTAAATAAGTGATATGTGTCTCTTTCCTAAATATTCGTAGGAAAAAATTGTATAAAGTACATGTTTTATTAACAAGTTTAAATGGCTCTAGATTGATAACACAGAGACAATGTATTAGCACACTTTGTTTACACTATTTATTTTACTTAACTTTACAAGAAGTATTAACCTGCCGTAACGATAAAATGATAAATTTTCGCCACCAACTGCCATTAAAAAAAATAATTAAAAAATATAACATTAATAAACATTTGTTAAAATTAAGTATATATTTTAGGAAGTCCAAAATACTCTAAGTGTACAAACCCCTGAAGACAATAAGACTCTAGAAAATTACCAGAGCAATGTAAACGTCTTACAACTTTCCACAAAGTCAGATGTATCTACCACTTCAGAACCAAATACTTCTATTCCTAATAATTCGGATACGAATTCCTCTTTTATAAGTACCAGCGGGTACATATCAGAAACGCCAAGCCAAAATTCAAGTAGCTCTGGAAAGTTTGGAAGACCAATATTGGGAGCTGGAGCTAGACTGAACAAGAATAAATCCAACGATTCTGGAAAAAATTGGAGGGAGAAAAGTGACAACTCGACTAGTGGGTGGGGTAAATCCAACGGACCCGGCTGGAAAGACAGAGGCCCAGAGAAAACTTCCAAAAACAAAAACAAAGGGTGGGATCAAGACAGCAAATCTAAAGGGTGGGAACATGATGATAGGTTTGTAAATGATTATAGTTAAGGTATGAGTGAATTTTATATGATAATTAATGTATGACACATTGTTGTGAAGTTTGAAACGCTGGTATGATTTTAAAACTATTTTGATTGACTTCTCTCTTAAAGTTTTAGCTTTTCTGTGATATATTTTATTGTTTTTACTATTATTGTCTCGATTTCGTATATTTTGGTATTTAATCTGTATTTAATTTTTTTAAATAGATATTTATATAATTTATTGTCCAGTTCTAATGATGATAATTCAAAATATGTTCGAATTTTACTTTTAAATTGTTCAAAATGTTTTATTTTTGTCTTTGGTTCAAGATATATATTTTTATTGGATATGCCATTTAACTGAAATATAAATATAAAAAATATAATGATACTCGAAAATCAAGAATAAATTATTGAACATTAAGGAGTGAAATATAAACAAACAAAAAAGAACTTAAGAATATCTGTTTACTGTACTAACATCCTAACCATTAGGTTAGTGTTCATTCTTTGATATTTAAGGCTGAATTTCCAGTTTTCATTACTTATCACATTTTCAATTTTGATTTTTTAGGAACACGCACGAATTAATTACGTCAATATAACTCTTTAATTGCATGTCTTCCGATTATTTTTCTTAAACTGAATGGAAATAATTTAGCAAATACTACTTCAATTATTTTATTTTGTCTCTGTTATGAATAACAATAGCTCAACGTATTTGAAGTTAATTATTTTTTAAACAATGTGTGAAATGGCAAATTGATTAACAATAAATTATATAAAAATGAGGTTGTTCATAATGTCAAACCTATTTAAATTAACTTTATATTTCATATGTTTTTCAGATTATGATGTAAAATATTATTTAATAAATCTTTTTACAAGATTTCGCCTTACGGAGTTTTAGAGAAAAATTTTTATACCGTTTCATGTGTCTATTATACATCACATCTGCAGGGTAAGTTTTTGAGTCTTGAGCAGATCAAAGTGCATTATTCCTAGCTTTTATTGCTGTAAAGCAATTGTATTCGCCCATTTTTATAATATGTACTTATTTAAAGTTGGTATCATACCTTGCCCTGCATTTAACATTTATCCAATTATAGAATTGTAGGAATCTAGTAAACTTTTTCTTGTAATATAATTTTTTTGTAAATAATACTTTATAGCTTTGAATTGTAAGTCAAATTTGAACTTAAACAGATCATTTTTTTTGATTAATATGTATGTAAATGAAGCTACTATAATTTTTTTTAAATACCTTTTAATGATTATAAAATGTAGGGTGTTATTGAAATATATTTATAAATATTAAAAGTGATCAGAGTTTATGATGTCCAAAAACGAATGGCATCAATTTTAGTACCTATTTATTAGTTAAAGTTTAAAAACGGGTCAATTTCCCCTTTTCCTACTATTATTTTACTCTTTGATTGTTAAACCAACCTCAAATCTAAAGTACTAGTGGCACTGTTACCTGATTTTTAAATGTTAGTTGGTATAATCGTGGATTAACTTAAAAGGTCATCTTCAGTGGATTAGCGTTTGCGAATTTAATGTGAAGATAAAGAATGCGACGCAGGCATTCGGGGTCAATGATCTTAGGTGGCCTAGTTTTTGTACATGATCGACATAAACTTGAGCTTGATTTAATATAAATATTCATAATGTAATAATTACTCTTTCAATTATTGATATTTTTCAAAATAATATTTTTGTACATTCTAGGGATGTTTTAATATCTACATATATTTCAATAACCCTGTATATTTCTTTTACACACTTAGTCAATAATAATTTTATATTGAGGAAATATTATCGTACAACAAAATAGGTAATAAATGGTTTAGTTTAGAAAATTAATATATTATTTGTACATCTCTAATTGTTTTACGAATATAATAAACGAATCGTGGACAAAGGAAGGTTGCAAAACCCTTAACGATATATTCAAAAAGCCTGTAACCTCTCATTAAATTCAGGTGTCTTTGAAATGACGTACATATTTACTACAACCGAATGCTATAATGAGTGATCAACAAAAAAATATTTCTAAAATAGGCCATGACTGGCAAAAACAGAGATACGAGATACTTCGACATTTGTGATTTTTTCCGTGGTCTACTTTAGTATTTTTTTGTGAATCACTTCATAGTAATCTACTTTACAGGACTGTTTATAGGGTTTGACATGGGAATATTGAAGTTAACTCTCTCGGAATTCCGGGATTCTCCCGGAGAATGACAATTCATATTCAAAATCTCTCAGCTCCAGGACCGTAGCTAAACACTCCCGGATGTTTTATCTATGACTAAGCTGAGTTATTCTCAATATGCCCATATTAATGAGAATACAGGGTATTATGTTTTCTATTTACTGCGAGAAGTACGTGAAATGATTGTAAGCCAAACGAGATTAGACATGCGTTGGGTTAATTTCTTTAAAAAAAATGTGGATGAATCAGGCAAATATATAAAAAAGCTTATTTTATTCACTCTCTCGATTCATATCTAAAACGATGCAGTCCACCGTGTTTTCAGCGTAGTTAATGAACTTTAGTCAAAAACTCGCCTTAATGCAACTACTCATGTCAAATCTGAAATATAGGTATGTACAAATTTCAAATATATATGTAAAACGTATGTAAACAGTTCTATGATTTGATCGTTTCTAATAGAAAGGTATTGCAAGCTGCCACGGTGTATAAAATATAAATAAAAAAAAAATCGGGTTAAAAATATTCATACCTAAGAATTATTTTAAGAAAGTGCAACAACTTTTATAATATTTCATTTTTTCTCCTGGATTTCTGATCAACAGAACTGGCAACCCTAGCAGTTGTACGTGTGAGCATGTAAATCATATACCAGCCAAATATCATAAAATGTTATAGAATTTCTAGTCAATATTGGGCGAAAAAAAAAACAAAGAAATATTTAACTGACAAGTGATAGAAGTAGCCAAGCACCAAACCGCACAGAGGTCAAGATGGATTTTGCAACTATCATAAATTGTTTATTTAACGTACTATATTTAAGCATTGGAGACAAAGATGTTGACATTTAAAAGTATCACCGACATAGTTTCAACAATTTTAAAAATAATTTTCTACTTAAAACATTTTTAATGTTTACGTTTGTTCCTAAATATCTATTTTTATTTTTTTTGTTGTGTTTTAGAGGTAATAATTTAAATACTACATTCGATTTATATGCGTGATTGTTTTTTCTCTGGTTACAAAATTGTATGTAAAACACTTTTGAATTACCCAAACCTTTTTTTAATAATTGAATGGTTGTAGTAGGAATAAATTAGGCAGGCTCTTTTGTTTCTGATCTACTTATTCACAAAGTATTAGTACATAATTTTTACATTCACATACTTCAACAAAAATGAAAAATGAATAAAAATTACAACTTTGTCCCTATGTCTAATTCTCGTCAATGGCATCTACATTTACTTTGCTTTCTTCCTTAAACCACTAAATATACAAGTATTAGAAATTAAAAATTTAAAAAACCGACTTCAAAAACGTGCAGATGCCATCACCACATCTTAACCAAATTTATATGGGACCACCCTTGAGGTACCCCCTTACTAACAAAAAAAGAATCATACATCGGACAAGGTGGTAAAGCATTATCGCTAAACATACATAAACAAAATGAAGAGTTTGAGGATTTTCTCATATACCCCATTAATAGATTTTGACCAAATTTATATGGAACCACCCCCGAAGTACCCCCTTTCTAACAAAAAAAGAATCATTGAAATCGGACACTGTGTTAAAGAATTATCGCTGAACATAAAAAAATATTGCGACGAATTGAATTGAGAAATTTAATTGTTATCTCTTTGGACAGATTACCCAACTTTTTGTCTCAGGCTGCAAAGTGTCACTTACCGTTCTTAATACACCTATAGCTACTTTTGCAAAATCTTGTTTATTGGCTGTATTTACCTGACAAACATTTTAAAGCTTCGTACTCTTTTAAACAAAACAAAAAAAAAGCAAATAAATAAAACAGAAAACGTTTAATACAACAATTAAACAGTCTTTTTAACACAATATATAACTAATTTCTGCACAAAATTTTTGTTCTCATTTTGAAAAACGTTTTTTATAATATTTATGTTTTGAAATTTAACTGAAAAAAATTTTAAATTCTTTTTTGATTCGTTACCAGACTATGTTCTTTTATGGTGGCATCTAATGACAAAAGATGACAATTGTATATTTCACCATTAGAGAAAACGAAAAACTGTTTACAGTAATAGGTAATCGTGAAACTGATCAAAAGAAAAAACAGTTTTCTAGAATTTACTAAGTCGCAGATAAAAAATCCATAATATTTTTGGGGTTGAATTAAATAAAATTTTAGACTTCCTAGTCCCGATTTTTTTGTACAGATAGCATACAAATAATGAAACTACTTGATAATATATAATTTATTACTTATCAATTTTAACATTTCTTTATAACAAATCAATTTTATTTTACCGAAAGAACCGGGAATTATTTTTTTTTAATAATTTCAAAATCTGATAATTTATTGTAAATAATATTGGTATACCCTATGTTTTACTTGAACATTAAATGTAATTGATCAAATATAATTTTTAAAAATGGTTATCAAAAGACAATTTCCGATTCTTTTGTCCCGAATACCTTATAGGTAATGTTTTTTACTATTGATTTGTGTCCTTTATATTAAGATTTTATATTATTTAATGTATTGTTTTTGCAAGATGCTTCGATTTTGTAATAAAACTAAGTAAGTAATATAATAGGTATATTTACGTTTTTATATGTAGGTATTCATTTTTACAAATAGGTACTCTTTGCACTTATTCAGAATCTCGAATAATATTTTTTCTATGTATGTATTTAGTAAAATAAGTATCGATTTCACACTTTTTTAAACTAAATCGAAGTATCTTAAATGATTCTAAATTGTAATTGAAACATAAATAAATTACAATTTTAAATATTTTCGTTTCATTTCAAATAACCACACCAGGTATTCTATTTAACATGTATTTACTCCAAGAAAACATATCAGAGGTAGGTGTCGCATATAGAGGTAAATTGAAAAATTAAATGACCTACTTAGTAAGAAATTTTCATTTCTTGAAAATTTAGTATCAATTAGTTACATGGAGGTTAGGAAAAAAGTATACGAGCTGTATGGTGTAGTGTACAATACATTCAGCTCAGTTACTCTCGCAGGATAACCACCTACGCTGTTACAGGTAAGACATTTGATTTGGTGTTCATACAATTTTATTTTTAAAATGCCGCTCTTGATTTTCTCAATTGGCCAGTTTCAACCGTTCAGCAATTAAAAAAATTATCATTATAAATTTTGAGAGTTTTAGATGTCTACAACATTGTCAAAAATGCCGCAATGGCTAATAAATTATCTGCCCAACACTTATATAATATAGTGGTTAGGTAGGAGTAGCTAGTACAGCTAGACTTCGCCACTGATTGCATCAGTAAACTTATATACATTCTTTTCCTCTAATAAAGACGATTTATTATTGTTGCTTATTTAAAAAATTATAAATTATTTGTTACTTGCAAATAATTCTTAATTCTATAATCGGGAGAATCTACACAAATATTTTCTATTTAATTAGAAGGAACTAAATCATCGTTATTTAAGCATTACTAAACTTAAGCTTGCTTGAAGCGAAGCTTTGATTATTGATACAAGTAATATTGAACGCAGGAAAGGTGGTAGGTATGCAGACGTTGTACACAAAATATAGTGATAGTCGTCCGCTCACAGTGCTTATACCCTACGGCTCGTATACTTTTTTCCTAACCTGTATAAAAAGAATGCAGTTTCACAAATGTATGCTTTTTTATCATTAGGATTTCGACTTCTGCTTGCCCCACTACATAAATATCAGTGGTATCTGCCTGATATGTACATGTTCCTATTACACCTTGTTCAACTAAATGTAAGGCATAGTTTTTGCGTTAAAAACAGACTTGCCAGAGAGCGTTTAGGTTATCCTGACACTAACAGCAAACAAATACAATGACTAGACAGAATTCATTCTGACTGGTCATTGCCAAGTACGAAAGCATATCCATATCATGAGGCTGCGTCTGTATCCGCACTCTGCAGTGGGTGCGAACCAGGGCCGACTAGAGGGGGCAGCCGGGAGTAATTTCCGGGGCCCGGGCTCAAATAGGGGCCCGGCAGCGGTATAAAGGGGGCCTGGTAGCGGTGGTGTATGTTACTTTCAGAAGTTCAACACAAGAGGGGGAAGTTCTTACTTGAAGACCTTTTTTTTAGAGAAATTCAAGCAGAGGAGGAGAAACTTGAAGACCTTTGGTCATTTAATTTTTTATAAAACTATCGCGGTGCCCGATCTGGAGAATTGTCCTGGGTCCCGGTCTGGCTCTCGGCGGCCTTGGTGCGAACAAGCAGTTAAGATCATCAAGCATATCCTCTAGGATTACCCGACCCTCTCATTTATTAGAAGATTTGTGTTGGCCGATATAAGAGAAGCACCTCTTGGTAACGTTGTCAACTACATTAAATCTGTAGACTGGCTCATGAGCTAGGAGGTGCCTATCTACTTAGGAGGGTGCACAATGGACCTAGTGAGGCTTAAATGCCCTGGGTTAACCCACCCTCCACACGTTACAGATCTGCAGTCAAGCCAGGCCGAGCGCAGTTGGATGAGTGACCATCACAATTAAAGTCGGCGTACGTCCGAACAAACTGCTCGCGTAGTTGCATACCACAGCGAACAGGCGTTATATTAATGAGTACGAGAGGTATAGCATGGAGTGTGCCATGTTTCGGAAGAAATTTAAAGCCGTAGGTCCCGCGTTCATGGATGTTGGGCTCCAGTTGGAACATCATATGATTCGATGGTGTTTTGGGGTAGCGTTATTCTATAACTTCTTTTGCTTGGTTTTGATCTTTGGCGTCTGTGTTTTTTAGTTATAGTTTATAATTTGAATTTATTTACTTCATCAGCTAGGAAGTACGTTTTGAATTTTTGAAAAATAAATTAAATTCGTTGTGTTTCAAGTACTTATTTAGAAATGTAAGAGAATTTTATTTAAACCATGAAACTTTAATCTGTATTTATTATGCTCAAGTAGTATCTCGATTGAGATACGAGATTGGTATATGTGGAAACTCAACTGATTCTAGTGACGTTTTTATTCTTTAAAGGAAGATCCTATAAGAAGTTAATTGCATGGCCTCGGCCGTAAATTTCTGATTCGGCCGAAAAAGCTCAACTCTATTATTTATAGCCTTGGTACACAAAATAACTTTTATTTCTATAAATGACATTAAAAATTTATGAAAAACACATTTCTCATCTATAAAACTGTTTTTAATGATATAGACTTGAATCGATAACTTTAATCACTGAAAATGTTGCTAGAGATGGGAACGATCTTATGGAAAATTGTAATGTTACTATTTTACTAATAAAGCTACAGTTAATTTATCTTAGCATTTTATTTAAATGTAAATATATAATCTGAATGAAATTAATGCCGCTAGTCAAGGCTTAAGGCCTCGTCACTCCAACCTTTTTGTTTCCAGTTGATATGTTTGTGAAAAGAGATCTATTGTTTCTATCAGGCTTAACATTATCCATTAGATCATTCTTAGAAAACGCTTACAGACTATATAAAGGTAAATTTTAACAAATTTATATATTGGCCATAAATTACAGATTACTTTCAAAGCATATACATAGTACACGTTTGTTTATTCTTAGAGTAAGAATAAAATCTGTCAATACATACTTATTATATATCATTTTTTTTGAGATAGTTGACTGATTCCATATAAATGTTTTCTATATTTTTAAAAATAAGTTTAACTATGCCTTGATTCCTATTTTTGTCATCCCCGTATATGATAAAAAATGAGAAATTTATTACTTCAAGTGGATACCACCTTTAGGAATATACCCGAAGAGTAAATTGAATTTTTGTTGTTGTTGAGTTTCAGAAATATTAATTTTTCCTGATTTTAAAACAAGTACATGAAATGGCTAAAACGGACCTGCAAAGGCACTTTGTGCGCAGTCTCATATGATGTAGAAGAGACTTTTTTTAGGTAGAGAGGGGATAAATGTCAAACCACGTCGGTCTTCTTCGAGAATTTCGCGGTAATGTTTTATTAGCCAGTGGTGTTTCATAAAAAAAGTAATTTTAAATTGTTACCGGCAGAACCGTACAATCGCATGTATTTATGGATTAGAAATAACTATTAAACAAGTAATATAATATTCCAAATCATAATACTACAAAATTTCAACAACTATTCACAATGTATTAAACTATTTACCCGAAATTATTATTAATATCTATAAAATAATTTTGTACGCCAATGTATCGCGTCCACTTCGGTTACCTTCACCGCAAAACTGTCAATTAATGGGCGAATTCGATTTGTTCCATTTTAAATATATAATGCTTTATATACACATATATTGACAGTTTTGCGGCATAGCTAACCGAAGTGCACGCGATAACATTGGCGTATAAAATTATTTTATAGATGTTAATAACAATTTTGGGTAAATAGTTTAATAAATTGTGAATAACTGTTGAAATTTTGTAGATTATTATTTGCGATATTATAATACTTGCTTAATAATTATTTCTAGTCCATAAATACATGCGATTGTCCGGTCCCGCTAGTAACAATTTAAAATTTCTTATTCTATGAAACGGCACTGGAAGTCATCCTCCATGGTTTGACGTTTACCCTCTCTCCACCTATCAAAAGCCTTTAGGGTACGACGTGTTACACATCTAGTTTTTATATGATCCAAGAGATAGGACACTGATCTGTCCGGATACCGGGAAATACAAATTTTTCCATAATTTTTATGATCCTTTTAAAAATTACTTAGTCTTGGGTTCGTTATTAATATTTTTATGAAAGAGAAATTGTTTATAAGACTCTGGACGCAACATACGGTTTTTTAAATATATTTCATATACAGTTTTGAATATAAAATAAGTAAATTAAGAACTGGAACTTCTTTTTAATAAATGGTATTGTTAAATAGGTACTGTATTGCATGTTATTTATTAGCTGATATAAACAACGGTAGTCTTTAGCTAATATCTTTTTATTGGTAATCATTCTTAATTTATATTTATAATTTTGAACAATAACGAAATTAAAATCAAATTTGGCGCTTTTTTATTCATTCATCAGTTGGCTATTCTGGTGACCCCTAGCGCCTAGCGCTTTTGTGGATTGTTAATAATCAGGTATGGTTAACGGCATTCTGATTTTCTTTAAAAAACAATTGTGGGTGAAAGTGATATAAGTTTTTGTATAATTAGTGGTATATATTTCTGCTTTGTCACAAAAAAATTATTATTGTTCTTTCCGTTTTGTGGAATTCAGATATTTAAAATGCATTTGTCTTAACAAACTTGAGCTTGTCAGTCCTGGAAATGGCGTCTTTCCACATGGCGATAAAATGGTTTTGTTTCTCTTTTACAAAATTTATAAATAACTTTGGTGTTTAGGAACAACAAATGAAAAATATCTGAAATTTGACTTAAATCAGATAGACAATAACTTAAAATATGATTTTCTGTGTGGTAATAACTGCGATGTTGCCGTAATATTGTTATAACATTATTTTGCCCTTATAAACTGAAACTAACATTTTATTACTTATTTAATTACTTTACAGTTACTTCCACATCTAAATCACTTATTAGTTGTTCTAATTAATCAAGAAAGCTGATTTTTTGTCACAAATTGAGACATATAAACCAGCCCTTTTTAGTTTGTATAACTTTTTATGACGTTTGTTGTCAATATAAGATATAGATATTTATTCGTACTTTTGTATCTTCTTACAGTTAGCTTGTAAATAATACATCTGTACATACTGTACAAAGAAAAACATGAGTTCAAGTAATAAAGCCACCTCAAAGGGTGGCAAAGGTGTGAAGTCTGATAAATCTCAAAAATCAGAGAAATCAGAAACTAAAGGTAAGCCCTACTTAGTAGTAAAAGTGAAATATCTTCAAAGCATATAATTTCTAGGAAAAGGTGGTGACAAACAACAACACAGAGAAGCTAATTCCAAAAATGAAGATTCAATCATTAAAGACAAAGTTAAAACATTAATAGAGTTGTCTCAAAGATCTGAAGAGGAGGTGTGTTTGGCGCTCCACGAGTGTGACAATGATGCAAATTTGGCCATAATTATGTTGTTGGAAGAAATGGGCACAGTAAGTACAAATTATGCACCTTTAAAAAAAGTTATTTTTGGAAGAAATTAAGCTAAATGAATGCCAGAATTTATGGATTGATATCAAAATTATACAGCAAATAGTTTAGAGGCAATTGCGTATAAAATAAACAAAAAGGGCAAGTACAGTAAAATTATATTAACCTTATAAATTGTGTAGATATGTCCAAGTTTCAGTAGGTTCTTACATACCTAAAATAATTAATCTGAAGTGCCTCCTTTTCATATAACAGTGACTGTAGGGTTGAAATCAATTGCCCCTTAATTTTGAAATAAAACTAAAATTTGCTGATTTTTTGTGAAGGTGACTAGTAGGGTGGAGTGAAAAACATTTTTTGTTCCTGTAGTCTAAAGTGAAACCCAAAAAGTATAATTTTCTAACTTTTAATTTTACCATGTAACCAATATGTCTAGGGTGTTTGGTGTTTGTTTATTACATCTACATTTAAAACTGATCCTGTATCAAGTGATAAAAAATTCACATCTGATGTTGTAATTGAAATGCAGCTATAGTAATAGTTACTGTCTAAAAGCAAAAGAAACTCTCCCAATATTCATTTATGCAATCATATCTAAAAAAATCTAAAGGATCTATATATATAAATTTTAAAAATGAAGTAAAAAAACTTTCTAAAACATTGCTTTTGTTCAGAAGTTTAGAATTTAAATACAACTTTTTAAATTCATAAGTGTATAGTACAGTACAGTGATAAGTATGAAAAATAGTTGCTCTTCATTCAATTTGCTTTTTCAGTGGTAAAAAGTGCTTAATTTACAAAAAAAGTTATATGGATAAAATTTAGGTTAAACCATCTTCACAACGAAATCAGTTTCAAGAATCATAAGTTGATAAAAATTGGGTAAAACTACTAAAATTCAAAAAATAGCTTATCTATAATAATAAAACAAAGAGTTTTTTTTTTATTTTTATCTGAACCTGTCAAAAAACTTAAGAGATAATAACATAAATAGGTGTTTAAAATCAGAATCAGTGGTGTGCTCTGATTTATAGGATATGGCCATGATATACAAATACTTGTATGCTACTAATTCAACCAAATTTTGCACATGACTTAATATGGCATAAAGCAAACAGTATTTGATAGACGTTTTAATAAGAATTATTTTTTATAGTTTTATTTCTAATTATAAATATATAATGATATGAAATAATGATACTCATTTGGAATTTTAAATAAGAGTATTTTGATTGTGCTGTTCATTTTTGAAGTACCTATTTGAAGAGATTAAAATGTTTTGATTTTGTTTTCCATTTTTGGATGGTTTTAAAGGGTTTAAATTAAAGTGTTGTGATTTCTTCAGCAATTTTATTGTGACAATAAAAAAAACTATAAAATGTCTAATTGTGCTGTGGCTATTTATAAAAATTATAGCAAAATTATGAAGAGAACAGACATTACATATTTTCAATTTCAAAACAATGTTGATTTGGCTAAGCAATGAATTGTAGGATGTCACCGAGAAAGGACAATAAACTTAAAAAATGGTAAGTGTAGGAGATTTTATTTGTATAATAAAAAATTTGATTCACAATTATTAATATTTAGTGCCAATGATCATGTAAAATGCTGATTCAGTTACATAAACATAAATTTCATGTACTTATATTATAATTAGATGTTTTTTTGCAGCTCATATTTGCTCTGTACACTTCAAAGTCTCCTGTTTTGAAATGCCTTTGCAGCAGAGATTGTTGGGATACATGCCCATAAAAAGCCAACATTTGAAACCTGGTGCTGTACCCACACTAAATATTTTTAAATTTCCTGCAGCAATCCAGAAAGGGCAATGTGAAGAAAGTAATCTGCATTCAGCTAAAAAAAGCAGTTAAAGCAGCTAGTGTTTCTGAACAAGAGCTTATTTACACAGAGCCTTCTCCCGAAAACTGGTACTTGGATCATGACATAAAAACAATTCTGCTCCAAAATATTCTGAGAAATAGTCACTAACAGCCCTTAATCAGACACTATATGCAGTGGTTTTACTCAAATTTTGTTCATTCAAACTGTGCATTATTGTTTGATGTTCTTTGTTATGAACTTATGTAAGATACTTTTCTTTAAATAAAGTGTCTTTGCATGTACTTTACACATATCTTATTCTTGTTTTAGTTTCAATAATAAATTAACTAAATATTCATAAACTGTGGGCAATAATAATATTTATTTACCAAATAATTACATATTATGTAAGGTTAACAATGTAAAATATAAGCCATATTAGGAAAAATAAATATGATAGTCCCACAGAAGAGCAAGTCTGTGCGTGGGATTAACTATAAATTAGTGTCTCTGACAAGTGTTTTTATAATACTTTCATCGAATTAACATATTGCAGGACTCACTATAGATTATTACTAATAACAATAGTAATAATAATAACTATAATAATTAATTATTATAACTTTTTGGGACACGTAATACATGATTATAAGAGGAACAAAAACAATTATTTTTTAGATTTACTTTTTTGGTTTTTTTGTTTCTTTTTATTTTCAATTATTTTATTTTTTTTTTTTTAATTTATTTATTTACCCTCAATTAAGACGTGGATATCTGAGCAACTTAATGTATTACACCACTTTTTGACAAGTTTTTTGAATAAGTTAAAGTGATTAAGATTTTTTATTTCTGAGGGGACTAGATTATAACATTTTGACCCTAAATATAGATATGATCTTTGTAATAAATGCTTTTTTGCCCTGATGACGGAGAAAAAATCATTTGACCTATACCTGGCAGGGTATTGGTGATGAATTTTGGTTAATTCCTTTCGATTTTTGTGTTGATGTATAACGACATTTACAAAATATAATTGTCGAATATCTTGAATTTTGGTTTCACTATAAAGTGTACTACTAGTATATAATCTTGGTTTTTTGAATATTTGTACATATACAGTAACTTTTCTTTTTCACTTCATAAAAACCACAACCTCTGACAATGAAGTGTTACAGTCTTTACAGTTATGTCTCGTTACTTGTATTTATCTACGTAGATGCGGATTTATATGCCACATGACGTCATATCATGTGACAAGGATAGAGCTAACATGCGCAGGTACATACCGGTATTTGTGTATCGTGGGGTATATGTATAATGTATAAAATGTAAACTGAAATCGACATTAATAGATCCCAAAAACCCCATTTTTGCATGCGATTTGTGCAAAATTTTCTGTGTGATGATTCTTTGCAGTTATCAGGTTCTGAAATAAAATATATTCCACTTCAAAAACGCTATTTAAAATTCCACTGTGCAAGCTGCCGGGGCAACGATGTTGTAGATCTGCTGAACAGTTTCTGACAAAGAACATATTATTGACAGTAAAAATAAATTACAAAATGCTTGAAGAAGACATTAATAAACTTAAAACTACCCAAAGTAGTAATTGTACCTTACTGTCAAAGAGACGCAACTCAGAGATTTTCAAGAAATCTTGCACCAAGAATCTATAATATGTAGGGATAGAACGATATTGATGTCGGTATATCGGCAGTTGTTGCCGATTATCGGCATCGTATCGTACCGGCACGATAATTGCCGATATATCGGCAAAGAGATTGTCCTTTTACAGGTATTACACGTCAGAGCTGAGGAGGATTCGAATCACATAGGATTCGAATCCTTTTTGAGGATCCGAGAGCGGGATTCGAATACTTTAGAAAAAAAGGAGCCGTGATCCGGATTCGCAGAGAAAATCCTAAAGGATTCGTATTCGAATCATCAATATCAGTCTCGGATCCTTTTATAGAGACCAAACTACGCCGGCGCGAACGGCTGACTCAAGCTTTGACTTGTCGCGAATTGTAAACTAAAACAGACTGAGACTGAATAGAAAACCGATGTGTTTGGCGTGCACGATTACAGAATTAACCACATGCTTTGATTTTCTTTTACTATACGGAGAATGGTCGCACTGCGCAGCTTTCTGAGTGCCTTTTAAAAGGAGATAGAATACTCCGCCATTTTGAACCCTTATTACGTGTTGCCTACATCTTGGCGCAATATTTTTAATAGGTGCGTTTTAATCATCCGCTTCTGCTTCGGAATTATCGGTTTTCTTGTTTTAATCTGACAGGTTAAAACGACTAAACCGACAATTCCGGAAGCAGAAGTGGATTAAAACGCATCTGATATTTTGCTTGCTGCTGTCAGTGTCAGTGAATATTATTTTTGAAGTCACAGTTTATTGCTAAAGAATCAGTTAGCTCACTCGGACCAGTTGAAAGTTCCAAAATAACATCTACTCCAGGGATACAAATTCAGGATACGCAGAAGACTGCTATTTTATTATAGGCGGTTGTCATATATTGTATTATCCGAGTTGCACAGTGTATAAACGCAGAGTGAGCGATCTGATTCTTTAGCTGTAAACTGTGTCACAGGGTTCAAAATGGCCGCGCCCTGTGTTGGGCGTGTCGGACCTCTCTCTTGCCTCGTATAGTAATCAAAGTATGTGGAATTAACAAATAATCTGATATAGATCCTCAATACAGGTAAGTGAAAAAAAATTCTGCATCCACATCCACATGTAGATATATTATTTATTTTTCTAATTTTTGCAGGATATACAAAATAAATATGTGGGCGATATTAGTCTATTGAACGAATATAATACATAATTATATCCATTCTATGTTTTCTATCAAATACAATTCATTATTTAATGTCAAGTTGACTATTTTTTATTTTTATTATTTAAAATGAGTTTTAGTTATTAATATAAAATATAATTAAAAATTAGTGGTGGACTGTGAGTCCGCATAATAAATTTGAGCCAATTATAAAACAGTTTTCAATTATTTTTGTTTATTTATTTAAAAGCATCAAAAATAATTAAACAACATTAATTTTACAGCAAAAAAACATAAAGGAACATGTATTTTTGGCATTATTAGAAATACATCAGAAAAGTTTAACATTCCGGAAACTAGCTACTAAAAACATATAATCAACG